AGTGACTATCCCCACTACGTGTCAATCCTTACCCTATCCGTGATTGTTTGGGCCTTAACAATCGGATAAAGTGAAGAACGAGAAATATTCACTTTATAAAAATATTTTCAGTACGCACCCCCTTGAAATTCATCAAAAGTTGTACGTGTGCGCGAGTTTCAGCGTCAGTTTTTAGCTTGTAAACCATATCGACGTTAATTCTGGATATCGCAGCCCTTTTATTACGTCGTCGCGTAATTCGAATTGGCCCTATAATTCGGTCGTGAATAAGTCAATGTCACCCCCAGCACCAATAACATAATTATGTCATTGATTCCTTTAATTTCAGTTAAAATCAGTGTCATGCACGGCTCAACTTGTGTGCAGTAGCACAATTTTGCATTCAGACAATGAGGGACAAAAGTGTTGACACACTTCCGTAAAATGGCCCCTTTTTGCATAGTGAATATACTTATCCCCTTCCCTGTTCTACCCCAACCCCTTCCCCCCAAAATCAATGTTGAATTTTGGACCCTCAAGTATTTTTTTTACTTCAGACAACATTGATTCGGGGGGTCGGGGGATTTACGGCGTTTAAAAGGAATGAAATAATAAATGAATTAAATGTTTGTTAAAAGAAAGCACCCGTTTTAAACAAGTGAGTCAACTACTTTTGTCCCTGATTGTCTGAAATATGTATCTGTGTTTTTTCCGGCTAGATTTTTGACGCTGCTGAATTTTTGTGCGAAGACATTACTCTATGAGCCAAATTGTTTGTTTTTAAACATCAATTTATAAAGTCTCGCCCTGATTTGTAGTATACGTAGAGTAAAATGTAGGAAGCGTATGTCATTACTTAATCTTGTACTCCTGCCCGCGTTCCTGATACCCTGTCGGGTCGAGACGAAATGATTTGTGTTCTGATCAACGCCGTTGCTGCGGATGTAATGTTTTCACAAGTATTATCAACAGTGGAAAAAGGATGGAAACACTAAGGTACAATGAAAATTGTCCTGGTAAATGGTTAACTTAAGCGAATGAAGTACTGCAGAGTAACAGAGGGGACATGCATTATTTTTGACATTGACCTTTGCCATAAGTGAAAGGACGTGAACAATATACAGGTTATGAACCTCATAAATGATGGACCAGCCGTTTGTGCTATGCCCTATATATAGATGTGTTTTTTATTTTTTTGAGACCTTTTCTTACCTAACTGATCCAAACCTTTAGCGTAGGTAGGCGTCGAACAGGTTAGACCAGGTTAGGAATGTACTTTTGTGATGATTTTGCATGACCGCCTGCCATTTATTCCGTGGCTTGATTGTTTATTGATGTTGGACGGACAACTATTTCATTTCCCAGCTCGTAAATCACAGAATGCCAAAGAAATTGTTTTCAAGATAGACACACCAGTTTGTATCATCGCCAAAACAGCAATTACTTTGGCCCAGAAGTTCACGTGATGACAAGCGAAGCGGGATAACACGTGATCGATGACGGCAGGGCGCTTGAAAATTTCCCTTTTTTATGCGCTAATTCCTCACAAAAGGCAAAAGAAGATTCCGCTATGTAGAAAGTGCTTCGCAATACGTATTCGTGGCGAAAAAAATTCCAGCGATGTGGTGCAAATAAGGAGTTTCAACGGTTAACCACGAGAATACATATCGACATTAAGAGGTCATAACAGACTTATGATACTTTCCGTTTGCCGAAACGTGGTTAACCGTTGTAACACGAAGGAAGCAGTGTTTTCCTTTGTCTGAGCTGTCGTTTTCTTTGAGAGTCAAATACCGGTTCACGTTTCAAAGCTCTCTTTTCATTTTCTCTGCCGACAATAGACAAAAACACAAGGTTTCGCTTGAGAAATGCAGTCGAAATACAAAGACATATGCGCTTATGTCACGCTACTTGCGTTGCGTTATCATGTCACACAGGGTGTCACGAGGTTGGATTAAAAGTAATTGTTTTCGTGTACACTTGCAATGGTTGCTACGCTGTCCTTAGTTTTTTATTGAATTGGCCATGAATTTATCTTCACTTTTCCGTAGTTTCGATTTTGAACGCAGTTACGGCCGCTCCGCACTAACGCTCCATATTTCCGTGGCCGGCCAGTGACTATCCCCACTACGTGTCAATCCTTACCCTATCCGTGATTGTTTGGGCCTTAACAGTCGGATAAAGTGAAGAACGAGAATTATTCACTTTATTAAAAATATTTTCAGTACGCACCCCCTTGAAATTCATCAAAAGTTGTACATGTGCGCGAGTTTCAGCGTCAGTTTTTAACTTGTAAACCATATCGACGTTAATTCTGGATATCGCAGCCCTTTTATTACGTCATCGCGTAATTCGAATTGGCCTTATAATTCGGTCGTGAATAAGTCAATGTCACCCCCAGCACCAATAACATAATTATGTCATTGATTCCTTTAATTTCAGTTAAAATCAGTGTCATACACGGCTCAACTTGTGTGCAGTAGCACGATTTTGCATTCAGACAATGAGGGACAAAAGTGTTGACACACTTCCGTAAAATGGCCCCTTTTTGCATAGTGGATATACTTATCCCCTTCCCCTGTCTACCTCGTTACCTCCCCCTTTTCCCCTACCCCCCCCCCTCCGCATCAATTGCCCCTTTTTCTCACGTGGAACATCTTTTCCCCCTCCCCCGTCTCCCCCCATCCCTTCCCCCCAAAAACAAATGTTAATTTTGGGACCTCAAGTCTTTTTTTTAATTTCAAAAAAATTGATTGGGGGGGGGGGGGGTGGGGGGGATTTACGGCCTTTAAAAGGAATGAAATAATAAATGAATTAAATGTTTGTTAAAAGCACCCGTTTTAAACAAGTGTGTCAACTACTTTTGTCCCTGATTGTAGTTAATGTATTCCTGCGCACGCTAATGAGATTCCTGCGCAAAAAGGGGACCAACCGGTGCCTCCTATACTACTAAAAAGCAATTCGGAAACTTTATCAACGTCGATGCACCCTCCAGGGACGGCAAGGCAAGGAGGATACAGAAGACATTTTGGAAGATCATTACCTAGCGGGTTTTTACCTTTAGAACCTTGAGGTGATGGAGAGTTTAAAAAGAAGAAGAGAGCAGAGGAGCGTGCCAGGGAGAGCCAGAAAACCAAGGAAAAAGTCTATGCTGATTATGGTTGGAAAGATATGTGTGAAGATTCAACCAAACTGAAACAGCATCGAGTGCCAGAGCTTAACAAGTACCTCAAGCACCATGGACTACACCAACACATCAAAAGCCCTAAGAACGACAAGGCGAAGGTAATCGCAAGGCATTGGCTTCTCCAAATGAATCCTGAAGGCCCTTATCCATTAATGTTGCAAACACGACTGAGAGAAAGAGATGGAGCTGATAAAGAATCCTTACAAGACAGTGACAGCGATGAAGATGAGTACAGCAGAAGTGAAAGCAGTGATAATGCTAAGAACGACAATGATTCCATCAACTCTGGAGGTGAAGATGTCATCCTTGCCTTTATTGATGACGAGGAAGAAGTTTAGAGGCCAGCAACGACACGCTCTGGAAGATCCATAAACCGAAGATCGGAAACTGACTTTTCTTTCTTTTGATTCTCTATATTTTTTTATGTTTGAAAAATAGTGAAGAAGTGCCTTAGAAAATGGACAGAAATTATTTTTTTGTATAAACAGAAGTGGCTGCTACATCTGTAGAATGAGTTGTCAACAGCTTTACATTGAACAGAAAATACAAATCATATTGTACACTGCAAAATATATGCATTTGAGGTTTAATTATGATAATGTATCTTTTGAAAGGGGGGGGGGGTCACCCCAAAATAAATGACCGTCTGTGGGGGGGGGGGGGGGGAGGGGAATTCCACCAGCCCCCCACTTCCTCGTAAAAAATGGACTGTCCCTTATCTATATTTTTTTTTTTCAGAAAGAAGAGTATATTGTATTTTTTCTACCTTTCTAGGAAGTAAACAAAGATACCACGTCACAAATCTTTTTACAAATATACCACAAAACCAGGGTCACGGTTTGGAGAGCGTATGAAAATTTCTACAAGGCAACCCGCCTAGTCCTGCACATTGCATGCGAGAAATGCTTAGATTAATCCTCAAAGAAAATTCTTTTCAGTTGAATGGAAAGCTCTACCTACAAAGAGAGTAGTTTCCTCTGCCAACGTTTTCATGTCATATATTGAAACACAAAGTTTAAGCTAAACCGTCTTTAAACCAGACATCGTAACTTTCTTCGAAGAAGTAAACAATGAGACAATGTTTTTAGACACAGTTGTATACAAAGGCACAAGATTCAACGAAAAAGTTTTCCTTGATGTAAAGTCTACGGAAACCTTCCAGCACACATTTTGCCCCTTGTCACTCACCGATTTGTCAAAAGAGTTTGAGGAAAGTGTTTCAAAATTCAAAAGAACGCTCGATGGTTGCTGATGGACAGGGGCCCAGTACCAACACAATTTGAAAGAAAAATTGCAATCAGATAAATGAAACTCACAGAAACCGAAGTCCACGCTCCTGAAACAAAACAGCAAGGAAGAAAAAGAAATGTTGCCTTTCGTGACACAATACCAGCCCCTAGTGTCTACTGTAAAAGAGGCTTTGATGGAAAGGTGGAGTCTCATACAAATCCAACCGCTAATTTTTTAGAGAACCACCCCTTATTTCCTACAAGAAAGGAAAACCATGGCAGAGAACATGCTTGTTAGAGCCAAAATATTAAAAGTAACACACGGTTTCACGTCGGTATAGATGTGCAACCTGTCACCCCTAATAATTAATAATAACATGCATTTTTACTTATTATCTGAGATTAACCGACAACCGACAAAGATAGAAAATTTTAACCGACTACCGACAAAGTAACTTACTTTTAACCGACAACCGACAAGAGGACCCCCCCATTCAGACCCTCTTAAATTAACTATTGCAAATACGCATAAATTTAAGAGATCTTTTATTACAGGGGAAGCTGTTTTATAATTATTGAAATTGTACTTTTATCTTTATGTTTTTAATTTTGTATATAATTTTATGTCATCGGGTATTTGATAGTCTAATTAGTGAACTCCCAAGGGCTCCTATTGATAGTAGGGATGCATGCTTTTTAAGCAGACTGAAGGGACTGACCTGATATATTTTTACATGTATACTTTATTTTGAAATACAAGTTAAGGCGTATATCTTGATATTTTCTATCTAAAGCCGCAAAGTAATGAGATAGGATAAAATATCAGCCTCGAAACCCTGCGTAAGTCCAGTTTCGCAAAATGCGTTGTCTTTAAATGAAAAGAGCATTGGCATAACTTTTCAATATTTGGAGTTGTTACTTTTTAGCCTTGATCAAGCTTAAGGAATGGGGAATGAGGACGAGAATTTTTTCAGTGGATGGTATGAACACGGAATAACCAGGAGGCTCATTCCCTCTTGTCACACACAAACTTCCCCCGTCTCAGAATAAACAAAACTAGTTTTTGTAAGCCTATGTTGAACAGAGACTTTTAAACAATGAATCAGCTGTTTCTCCCACGCTGCCTTGTCATTCAACTTGTAATAATCGATATAGCTTCTCTCTTTAAGAGCTTTAGGGAGTTTCTTTCCATCGACATCATCGAGTTTAATGACAATTACACTATTATCTCCTGTTTTGACTGATCTACCAAGGGCCATATCCATTTCATGATGGCAATATTGGCTTTTAAAAAAATTGTGAGACACCACAGCAATGGTTTTCCTGCTTGTGTAAACGCTGTCTGCCATATTTTCTCTAAAAGGCTTTCCAGGTACAAAATCTCTGTAGTGAATACAGCATTTCAATGCATTCTTTTCTTCTAGAATCGGAAGTAGAATCGTCTTAACCCACTCCTCGTCCGCGCTACTGTATATGATGAAAGCGTCAAATTGAAATTCCGTATCGCTAACCCCTGCAATAAAATGGAAAGTAAAAAATTAAGTGCAAAAAGAAAAGTGAGCATCAATGCTGCTTTATATTCTACGCTTTAACTTGTTATAAATATCTGATAAAACGAAAACTAAATGATACAAAGATGAGACGAAGTCATCCTGAGGCGAAATAAAAAAACTGGGCGTGTTGTCTTGTTGACTTTTATGGAACCTCGGACACCTACGCATATTCATCAGTCAAAAACTATAGGGAAAACGGTTAAAGGGTTCGGCACATAGATTTCCCAGATAGTTTCGGTGGAAAATACAAGAAATTGCCGGCTGATGGTTGCCTTCAGCTGGGAATCTTTGCCTTCAGTCAAAATGGCCACTATCTTACATTTCCCTGAAGAGATACTGAGAAGTCGTCCAGCTCAAAACCGTTTTGACAAACAAATCGCAACAAAAATAATGGTAACCCACGTTGCTTTATAGAGTCGAAAATTCATTCCCCGGCCAAAAGGCCTCTCGGAAACCTGCCGATCCTAGAAAATATCGTTATGACGTCACAGTAAGTGCGTACTTCCGCACCAACCTCCTTCCCAGGGTTGTCTCTTCCTCCTACGAGAAAGAACCCTGGTTGCAGCCGGTCACGTGGCTCCCAAAATCGTAGAGAAAACAAGGATCTGCCTAAGGGAGAGGAGTGAAGAATAAAATTGTCGCTGTGGAGAAAGACACGAAATACACTAGGGAGCTTGCAAGCCAGATAGGATTGCTTTTCCCTGAAATATATCGGTTATCAGAACATGTTCCTAAACAAAGTTTCCAAATCGACATACACGTGCTTTCGACCTGAAAATGGAAAATGGACCTAAAAGTCCTTGTTGACTCGTGAAAAGTAAGTTTTACGTTCTAAACGTTCGATTCTTGTTGGCGGCAAAGTGAGGGGTATCGATGGATTCCAAACAGCAAACTTTAATCTTGGTTTCTTTAGACTTTCACTTGTAAAGAATTTAAGGCCGTCGGTAGGAAAGCCGCGAACACCGAGTTCTTATGCAAACCAGTCAGTAGTTCGGCCGTGGTAGCGAAATAAAACCATTCTTCAGTCTACGCAAACTGTGAAATATGAAACAAAGGTGATTTACGTGTTTGTTTATGTTGTCTTTCAAATGATGGACCAAATTAAAACTTGACTTTTTCAGAGCAAAATAACACTTCATTCTAACAACAAAAGAAAATAGGTTGACTTAGACTGAAAAAGGCATAAAGTCGCATAATTGGCAACAGTCTATCTAATAGCACAAGTGGCAGATGCTGTATCTATCTACCATCTCAAATGCAACGCGCACTCGTTGAGTAATTGTTAACTATATATATAACTACACCTTAAACTGTCAGTCGTCCAGGCCCGATAAGAAAACATAAACTTCTTACGGCGAACACAAAAGTTGGCCTTAATTTTCATTTACGTCTTTCCTTTAAAGAGAAATATTGACATTATAAATCGTAACCTGCAAATTGGCTGCTACCAAAGACGACAAAGGTAACATTAAATTTAGGGGCGGACCCATAACTTTGCAAGGAGGCGTGTTGCGGGGTTCGACTTTCAACGATGTAGTCTGGGAGAATTATCTTCCAAGCTTGCTACTGTTATCGACGTACCGATTTTAACTTGATGCTTTTCCTTCAGAAGGTAAATGGAAGTCCCCATATGGAATGGAAGATTCCTTTTTAGTGGCTTAGAGTTTATTACGTTTACGTTTATTGTTTTGTTATTCTTATATATCAACGGCGGCTTCGTTTTTAGTCCTGGCAAAACCTATATATTATCTGATTATTCTGTTAAACAAAGCGGAAACCCGCCTTACTACCACCCGACCACCTCAATAATATACAGATTTAGCCAGAGCTAAAACCGAAGCTCCCGTTTATACATTTTAAATTTTACTGCAGACAATGGACTGTGAACCACTGCAAAGAAATTCACAAATCTATCCATGTTTGGGGGAAAACCATGACTGAAAAACATTAACTTCAGCCCGCAATTAACTAATAGCTAACAACTGGTCAGCCGGAAAAAAGTCAAAACACACGTGACCTCGATGACTTGGCACCTCAGCCCGCAATACGGTCATGTGACACTAACCAGAGGATACCCTGTTTTGACAGCTATCAATTGATGATAACATGGATGTCTATTATCAGTTTGTAACACAGGTTACAGACTCACACACTAGGTAGAAAATTGGACATTTCAAATTGGTGTCTCTGTGATGCGGACGGACGGGCGTACGATCACATGATTGCCAAATTTCCTTAGGTATGGGGCTCCGCTCCCGTGCGCTTCGCTCTGAGCTCCGCTTTTAAGACGATATATCTTTGATACAAACTTAAAAGCACTCTTCAGAAAAAAATTGTTGCTAAAATATGAACGGATTTTCATGGCACAAAACAGGGGTCTTATTATTAGGGTGCCACTGTAATGTTACCTAACCTGTTTTCGATGACCGGTCACGTGGGTGACGAAAGTACCAGTAAGCCAGGAGAGAAAATAGAGCTAATATCAGAACGACAATGACAATGGCAATGACAATGATAGGGTCCCCTTTTTCCGTCTTTGTGTCTGATTGGAAAACAAAAAAGAAAACAAGCAACGAAAATCGTACTTATACTTGTTAATAAGCAGCGCGCGTTCTTGCTCTATCTAATTTTTATATGATTGTGTGTTCAGCTGTGCTTATTAGACGTGAATTTTTGTCCCTTACTTTCTGCAAAATCTGTCATAATAGAAGAAAAAGCGCGCGCTCTGATTGGTCTATCATCTACATAGGTGAATGTGACGAAAGCTGGTGCGCGCTCAAAGCAATGCTCGTCACTTTCTGCTCGCAATTATTTTGCTTTACTTTAAAGTCTGCAATTGATTTGTTTTTTGCTTACAAAAACCAATGAAGATAATGTAAAAATATTTCACAATCCACGTAATTGATACAGGGAACAACTTATTTAGCGCAAAAAAAAAGAACAAAAAAAAACAAACACCAAAAAAAAAAAAAGCAAAAATGAAAAAGATTGGCCAAGGAACTGCTAATTATATAGTTTAGCCTGAAACAAACCTAGCAACCTCCACACAGCCCCCTCCCAATGTACGCCCGAGGGATAATATAGTTTAGTCTCAAACAGACCTTTTTTATACACCCACCTGTTGTTGGAGAAGCTATTCCTGTAGTTGCTGGGTCTAAGAGAAGAGGCGTTACTGTTAGTGTGTTGTAGAATGGTAAACACTCTTAGCATACCAATGACAATTATTTGGCTATTAAAGTAGAGTTTGTCGCTATGATAGCGAGAATGTGCAAGTAATAGGGCGGCGCAGAAAAACATTAACTACTTCAGTAAATAGTTTTACAGTTGACTCTGTCTTAACGGACACCTCTATAAAACGGGCACCTAGAGTTGGTCCCTGTCTTTCTTTACTTCCTTTATTTAACTCTCTATGTGACGAACATCTCTCTAAGAAGGACACCTCAGTGTGGGTCCCAAAGGTGTCCGTCTTGGAAAGAGTTGACTGTATTTCATATCTTTGTTGTCATCTGTATTTGCAATTATTTACAGTACGTTCACATCAGCCAGCTATGGCTGGCGTTGTCTTAAGCGAATAATTCTACTCTGTTAGTGGGTTTTAGAATTGTATACGCTTAACTTCTGGTTTGCAAGATTTACTATTTTGGACAATTTTTTTTGTTTTACTTTCAAAACAACGGAGATGGTCATTAAGGTCCCTAAAGAAATGGAGAGATCTGCTTAATTACCAACCTATAACTACTGATGGAGAAGTTATCTCTGTAGTTGCTGGGTCGTCTAAAATTAATACGCGTTACTGTTAAAGCGATGTGTGTATGTATGTAAGAACAAGGACTTTGATTGATGTGCAACAGGAGTATAACTTATTTAAATCAAACCGAAACGAATAAGGTCTAGTGCTTCTAATCAACCGGGCTTCGCTGTAATAAGGAGAGTGGAAAATAGAGTGTAGGTATGGTTTATGAGACGGGATCGTACAGAACTCTGCAAAGTAAGATAAGGATGAGTACTCCTGATGCGTTTATTTTTCTCCCTCTTTACTAACTTGAGCCTAACTTGCGGAAAACAAAGCTCTCTTTTTGTCAGATGTCTCTAATGAATACTGAATACGATAGTTCTTGTCTTGAACTCTAAACTCTAACAATTTTCGAGAAACGTAAAAGTGCTATGTTTGTTAAAGTCGTTTATTTTGCCGCGCGTACTCACTTGAGAATGATGTGTGTATAGATTAACATAACAATTAGTATAATCAGTTACCTGTTGACTCGACATCCAATTTGATTATTTTAGCTGAAAGAAGAAAAGAAAGAGAGAAAGACAGAAAGAGAGAGAGATTGATTGATTGATTGATTGATTCACTTTTATTTGAATACGGTAATTTCATAAGTAACATAACTTCTTTACATGAAAGCCGTATAGAAACAGAAGTAAATACTGTACAACTACACTAAAAATATGTACAAATAATAAAAAATAGTAAAATGTAGTCAACAGTTTGCCTGCCTACCAGCCAGTTTTCTTTTAAAGATAGCTTTAGATTCGGACGGTTTTATGTCATTTGGTAATGAATTCCACAGCATTCCTCCTCTGTATGAGAAAGACCCTTTATAATATTCTGTTTTTGGAACGTGGTCCAGTACAACATTATATTCCGTATTTCTTAGCATAAACTTATAAGGGTTGTTCTCACAGACATTCCAAAAAAGATCGCTTAAGTAACTAGGCACATTTCCATTCACTGTATCATACATTAATAGACTTAAGTGCCTTTGACGCCTTGAGGCAAGCTCTTCCCAGTTTATTTGTTTTCGTATTTGTGCTGAACGAACGTCATAACCTTGAAAGGTTATTATGCGTGCAGCACGATTTTGTAATTTCTGGATCCTAGTGGCAAGTCCCTGGTCTAAATTGTCCCAAACAACGTCGCAGTAGTCGAA